TATATCCAGAATGTAAAAATCCAAACAGTGGAGCTGGCGAGGTTAAAGTATTTCCTGTGCAAGTCTGGCATCCGAGTTCAAAGCTTAGAACTCACAGTGGAAGGAGACAACCAACCCCTGAAAGTTGTTCTTTGACCTCCACACATGCACACTGGCACATACATGCCTGTCTCTCTCTCTCACACACACACACACACACACACATTAGTACACACATGCCCAAGACATACACACACACCTATAGACTAGCACACAAGTGCCTAACATACACACATGCACACACAGACATATACATATGCATATATAACAGTACACACATGCCTAACACACACATGCACTCCAGTACACATGTGCCTAACATACACACACACATACACACATATATGCACACTAGTCACACATGCAGACACATGCACATACACACAAATAATAATTACAATAAATGAAATATTTAAGTTGAACAGTGCCAAATGGTATAGTATGTAGCTGAACCCCCTTCCTTCTCCTGACTCCAGAACTCCAAATCCTTTCACCAGAAACAATTTTCCATTTTTTAATCATATCCCCAGACACAGACTGTGCACAGATGCATTAATAAAATTTGAATAGACTCTCATGGGTTCATATAACATTAGAACAGCCCAACATCCAGGCATGCCTGTAAAAACGGGTTTTGCAGATGGGTCCCCAACTCCAATACAGGTCCTCAGTCCTGGTGAGCGTCACTCTAAACACATCTTCAGCCCTGACCAGTCTGGATGCAGTCATGGAAGACTATTTGCTGAACTAGAATTCTATCTGTCACCTTAATCACACCTTTTTTTTTTTCTTGTTGGTGCTGGTGACAGGCCTCCTGAGTCACACCTCCAGCTCAGAAGGCTTTAGAGGAGCCTCAGGAGGAAGCCCAAAGCTCTCCTCACTCAGAACCTGCTGAGCAAGCCCACATCCAGCCTATCCATGGATTTCAGTATTCAGGTGACTTTAAACCTGTCTGCCCTACGCCTTGAGCCTTCAGGACAGAGGAGTCTTCACAGCTAGCTAAGCAAGGACAGCATTGCTCTTCCTGTTCACAAGGCACAGCTGAGCAAGAAAAATTTCAGCCTTAGGCAACTTGGACATTTTCTCCTTTTGAAGCCGAGGATGTGAGAGGTTTGCTAAGACAGAGCCGTGGTGAGCACACCTGTTCATGAAATCCCGATTTAAAACAAAGAGCCTAATGGCAGGAGACACGGCCTGCCCCAGCTGGACGTGGGCTGCTTTGGGACTCAGCAGTTTCGATCACCCTGTCATTCTCTCCAACCTTCTAATCAGATCCCTTTCTTTAAGTCAGGAGATTTTAACCTATAGAATAACAGTCTTTGGAGCCAGGCAGATCTGGATCTGCATCCAGGCTATGTTACTAATTAGCTGTGGGGTCCAAACCCCACGACATGCTCCAAGGCACCAAGCCTTAGTTTTCTTATATATAAAATAAGCCTAATTATGTGTGTGTGGCGGGGGTGGGGTGATGGGCTCAAACAGCAAGATGTCTCAGCTGGGAAAGGGTATCTAACTGTGCAGACCTGAGGACCTTATTTCAATAACTGGAACCATGGTGAAAAATAAACAAAGAAAGGCTCTCTCGCTGGGTCACCAAAGAGGGAAAACAGCATCATTTTAGTAAAGCATTAAATGTAACGTCTTTTCATGGGACTCCAGCATAATTTGAGGGAGCCCTTGCAAAACAAAATTATAGGGCTCCTATTCAAAGATGACTAAGATTTTTAAGATGGCGACAGCAGGGCTGGAGAGAGGGCTCAGCCCCGAATGTGCTTGCCTTGCAAGCCCAAGGCCTAGAGTTCAATCCCAAGAACCATTGTTAACAGGAAACAAACAGGCCTGCTGTCTCCGACTTGTGATCCCAGCACTGGGGAGGAAAAGAGGCTTAGATCCTGGGGCTCACTGCCCATTCAGCCTAGTCTACAGGACATGGACCTGTCCAGTGAGAGATCCTGTCTCAAACAACAAAGGAGGCGGAGGGTGCCTGAGGAATAACACCCAAGACTGTTACTCTGGCTTCCGCAGGCACACAGTATACACACACACACACACACACACACACACACACACATGCGCACGCGCACGCGCGCGCGCACACACACACACGCATGCACAGCCATGCGGTCACAAAAAGGTAAAAGGAGAGCATCCAACCAAGAGTGAGGCCTGGAAGACTGCACAGGAGCACATGTGTAGCAGAGGCCCCCTCTTTGAGGTACAGACTGTAGCTATCATCATTTCTTCGCGCTTTTCACAAAGACGTTCTTTCATCTACTCCCTACCCCCCGCCGCATACACCTGCCCCGTGTTCTCCTCTCAATACACTCAACTTCGAAAATTTCACTGTATCCATTCAAATCTGGGCCCCAGCATCTTGGAGGCAGCCTGAATCACAAGTTAGGCTAAGCTACAGCAGACGATGATGATGCTACAGACACAGTCCATGTCCGAGGTTCCCCGCCTTTTGACAGCTGGCCTGCGCCCAGGCTTCTCCTCCTGCAGAGATAATACTCACCTCCTGCAAACCCCTGCATGGAGGATCTACCCTCTGTCTTTCCTCTACCTGAGGACTCTATCCTGGTGACATGGGTCTGCTTTTCCTTCTTCCATTGCTCTTAAGATGGTGAGCCGCTGTAGCGCTTGCTTCTCTTCAGGCTCATCGCGTGCTGTTTATTTTTCTCAACACATTTGCAAACACATGCAGAAAACACTGCAGACGGCTCAGAGCCATGTGCTGCTGTCTATATTTGTTCAGAATGTATCCCCAGGTGCTTAGAATAGTGTTGGCACATGGAGATTAGTCAATAAATAGGAAGGGAACGAACATCTCTGAATGAAAACATAATAAAAACAGACCGTCACGTCATCCACATGGGGAATCAGCCCCTCCGCCATCATGGGCCGTCTACACTAACAGCTCGGCGTAGAGACATCTGAGTTCAAGAGGTAACCGAGAAAAGTCCTGTTTTCAGATCATTCCCAGACCTGCCCTACTTCAGAGGAATACGATCCAACCAGCCATACCTCTTTCACCACTAATTCATATACACATACTAATGACTAGCAGCAATTATGAATGGCATTTTGTACGCGTGAGCGGTTCAAAAGGGAGACACTTGCCTGAAAACCCTAACAGTTGTTGAAAAGCAGAGGATTGTCAGAAAAAGGACCCCACATCACTGCCGTGTCACAACGACACAGGAAACCTGAGTTGTTACTATCAAAAGGGATGCAAGGTCTCAAGCTCTGACACTGTAAAGACGGTAGCTGGAGCCAAGCCAAACTTTTGTCCTACAGTTCCTGCCAGTCCCAGGTAGGGACTCATCTCAAAGCCCAGCCTGGCTTCTCTCAGCATCCCAGCACTGTGGCTGTCTGCACACTTTATCCCACTGGCGGAAAGGCGGCCCGAAGCTGTGGCCTTGCAGCCGCTGGCTGGGTGAGAGGTTTTCACGATGAGAGCTGATGCTGAAAACAAGCTTGCTCTCCCTCATGATCAAGCTGTAGCTCATGTCAGGGGAAACAGCTGGAGTCCCCAAAGTTAGGAAACAGCTCTGGGTCAGCACGTTCAGGCTCTTTCTCCAACACATGAAGCACCTCTGGCCTCCCAACCCAAAGGCTTCTTCGGGACAGACAGTGGGCAAAGGCCAAGATGAGCAGGATCACACTCAACATCTGGCTTTTGCCCCAGAGTGAACTACTGCTCCCTCTCAACCCTGCACATGGCTTCTTTTTTTAACCAACCCTTCTCAGCCACCACAAACGCTTTGGTGGGAAGCAGCAGGGAGGCCCCATCCCTTTTCCCAAAATACAGTCACTAGTCAGCAGCAGAGGCCAAAGAGGTGGAGCCTGCAGGCCATTTTTTGCAAAAGTTTCAAATATCCTGGTACTGACCCCATTAACAGCACCAAGACAGAAAAGCAGCCAAGCCTGTCCTTACCTAGTGTCTGTCTGTCTCTCTGTCTCTGTCTCTCTGTTTCTGTCTCTCTGTCTCTCTCTGTCTCTCTCTCTGTCTCTCTCTTTCTCTCTCTCTCTCTCTCTCTCTCTCTCTCTCTCTCTCTCTCTCTCTCTCTNTCTCTCTCTCTCTCTCTCTCTCTCTCTCTCTCTCTCTCTCTCTCTCTCTCTCTCTCTCTCTCTCTCTCTCTCTCTCTCTCTCTGTGGCATTACAAACTTCCAGTGATCTCAAACAAAGCAGTATACCGGCCCTGGCTCCCAGGAACAGGATTCCCTTTTGCAAATTTAATGCCAAAAGGCTGGAAGTGAAGTCTTTAAATGAGCCACGCTCTGTGACAGTTGAGTCTCCCAAGAGGTCCCTGTGGGAAGGAACTGGTGAGCTGTCCCATCTCTCCCCAAAGCCTCTCTGAAATGCGCAGCTGCCTCAGATTTTCCGGACTTCTCGGAGATCTTGCCCCTTAAAAGGGAGGAAGCAGATCTTCGAGGCTGTGTAGTTGAAGCAGCTAAGGAAGGCCTCCGTCTGTCCCGTGTGGAGAAAGAAGGCTTTTCAACACTCACATACATTTTAAAGATATAAATTAAAAAGGTAAGGAACAGGAAAGGGGAGAGAAGATAAACAGATGGTAAGAAAATACTATATTAGCTTGTCCAATTTTTTTTTTAACAAATCTTACCACACACACAAACACAATCAATGTAACTGGGTGGAGGCATTATTCTCAAAACACATCCCCTTCCCAGCATTGCTGTACCGTTAGCAATAGGAAATGTGCTACCGATAGAGAAATAGTATAAACGGCTTTGGAATACAAAGGGTCACTACTCGGAAGAAAGTTTAAAGGGCTCAGCTGGGCACCTTTCCCTGCTCACAGAGGAAAACTCCCATCCCCAGACCTCTTGTTATGGTCAAGCCACTTCCCGGACGCTGCCTCCCAGTTCCCAGGTCTCCAGCTGGTGACAACAACTGCCTTTCTCCTCAAAACTCCCCTGGCCTGGCCGCGGGTCCTCACCGTGTGGTACATGAGGGCCTCGGTCTCTCCGGGCTCTGACAGCTCGCTCAGCTTGCGGTCCCATTGCAGGACGCTCTGCTCCCCGCTTTCCAGCACCTCCATGGCGGTGGGAGCCCAGCGGGGCCGGGGATGCTGAGGCAGGAGGGAACCTCTCAGAGCCGCCACGGGCCGGCGAGACGCCTCTCTCCGTGAGTGCTTGAGTGTGCGCGCGTGGAACTTATGCACTGGCGCGCAAGAACCCGGGAGAGCCCCGCCGAGAGCTCCGCGACCCGTGTCCTCGGAGATCTGTGAATCCCCGGGGTAGACAAGCCTGCTGGGCTCGCTCGGGCCGAAGGTGCAGGGGTTAAATCGGGCTGTGCATCCAAAAGGAAGGCAAGAAGGCAGATCTCATCCCCCCAAAAGTCCTCGCGCGACAAGCCCACTCCCCACTACTGCTGCAGACAAACTTTGAGACTCCCCCGGGCTCTAGAGTTCGGCTCCTGGACCCAGAGGCGACCCCACCTCCTTCCAGGCCGGCGACCAATCGGACGCCCGTCTTGCCAAGTGTACCGTATCAAAAGTCTCTCTCTCGGCTATGTCCCGCCCCCAGAGGTAGAGTCACGGGAAATCTCCGCCCAGACCTCGGAATGTGGGCGGAGAGCTTCTTTGACTTCACTGGGGAACTCCTCCAGCCCAAGCATCGTGGCGGACCAATGAGATGCTTGGGTCTGGGAATGATCGACTGGAACATCGATCAATGAGAGAGAGGGATCTGGAGACGACGACCAATTAAATAGCGACAAGAATACATTTTTATAAGAGTGGGCGTGTGCGCCTACTCTCCTCCACTTCAGGAGGTTTATTTCCAGGCATAATTTCCTTAGAGAAACCTAGCAAATTGGAGCGCTGCCCACATTTCAAACTAGCTTAGGTTGCCTGAGTCTGTCTGGGTTTTTAAAGAATGCACTACATATATATGAAAATGTGCACGTGACTCTGGCACAAGAATCCAAATAATAACAGTTCTAGCTCATGCATTGCTTGCTTTTTACCTGGTTTTGTGGACGTTATTAAACGGCCATCTACCCAACGACACACCTTTCCAAGTCCTAAATCAGTTGGTTAATATTCTTTGATTCATAGGTTTCTTGTAGTTTGTTCTGTATTTGAGGCAGGGCCGCGTGTAGCTCGGACTGTCCTCAACCTCACTGAGTGGCTGAGGCTGGCCTTGAACTCCCGATCATCCTGCTTCACCTCGGGAGAGCTGGACTGATTGCAGGAACAAGGCACTAGTGCCTAGTTCACGGATCTTTTTATATTCCCAAAAGAAGTGTTAGGCCAAAAAAGACAGACAGACACAGAGACAGACAGGATGAGCAGGTGGATGCTATTTCAGACCCTCGTCAGCTCGTTTGAGTGCCACATGAATCAAGTGGGGCTTAGGGGGAAGGAGTTGTTTTGGTGGCTGGAAAATGCACCCCTGGTGGGAAAGAGTATTGAATCCAACCCCATTAGAGAAGAAATGGCCTGTTGTGTAGAATTTCCCCCCAACATAATTGTTCTTCTCTTTACATGTTTCCGTTTATGGAAACGGCCCTTAGTTGGCTAGAGTTTAGCCATCTTCCATTAACAGAAAATCTTAGATGGGGATAGCCCGGGAGCAGTATAGCTTTGCCCTCTTGAAAGCATGGTTTTTCTGTGTGAGGATAGTCAAAAGCCTCAGAACTTTACATTGTCTTTAAGGAACATTTTGTTTTCATGCGAATGAGTCTATTTGTCTAGCCTAGGGTCTTTTGAGACTACTTCAATATTTAAATACACACCTTTTTTTTTTTTAAAGGATCTTCCTCCTTTTCCTTTTATTTAGTCTTTTTATTTATTTATGATGTATACAATATTCTGTCTGTGTGTATGCCTGTAGGCCAGAAGAGGACACCAGACCTCGTTACTGATAGTTGTGAGCCACCATGTAGTTGCCAGGAATTGAACTCAAGACCTCTGGAAGAGCAGGCAATGCTCTTAACCTCTGAGTCATCTCTCCAGCCCAATACACACCTTTCTTATATAATAATTTTAACTTTCCCATAAGCCCTTGGTTTTTTTCTTTTCTAACCTACTACCTCCTTCACTAAAGCTCTTTTTTAAAAAAAATTTTTAAATCACCCTTTCAGCTTTTAAAGCCCTATTTCTTTCTCTTTTTAAATTTTTTTTTTTTCAAGACAGGATTTCTCTGTCTAAGAACTCTGGCTGTCTGAAACTTGCTCTGGACACCAGACTGGCCTTGAACTTGTAGACCCACCTGCCTCTGCCTCCCAGGTGCTGGAATTAAAGGTGTGTACCACCACTGCCCTGCAGCCCTATTTCTTTTTAACATAGTATTCATTATGATCCAGTGAAGTTAGAATTGTGCATTCTTCTTAACACAAGGGTACAAACATTTCTGTGCCCCACATCACTACATTTGACACAGTCTGATCCAAGTAATGCCCCAGTGATAGGCAGTTTCCACAATGGCCTCCAAGTGCCATCACCTTTGGGTATATCCTTTTTTTCCAGTGTGGGCAAAGAGGAGAAGTCAATAAAAAGATTCTGCCTCTATCATCTTGCTCTCTCTGTCTTGCTAGATTGCTCCACGGAAAGACAGCCACTGTGTTATAGTCTACCCTGTGGAGAGACCAGTCTATCCACGGAACAGAGGGAAAGTGTTAAGTTACCAGCCAAGGAACTAAGGCCCCTCAAATATTAGACTCTGCTGATGGCCACGGAAGAGGTGGACCTTCAGGTGGCTACAGCTTGGGAGGGAAGCTGAGCCACAGATTCAGCTGAGCCACACAGGTTCTTGACCCACAGGTTTTTGGAGCTAATAACATGAGGCTTTAGGCCACCAAGTTTTCCTTTGCAAAGTAGGTAGCACGATCATCCATACCCTGAGGCTTGAATAGGTTTAGTTGATCCTGGTGTTGCCAGCATGATCCATGGATTTCTTCGCCCTCCTCCTCTCTTTCACGCGTGGCTTTCCTGGGAATTGCACTCAAGACTTCTTGCTAGTACATTTTCCTGTTTCCTATCTTGAAGAATAAAGTCACACACCACCACCCATTTTTAGGACTTGGCAGTGTAGCTGACTCTTTTTCCACTATCTTGGTGTCCTGTGGAAGTCCCTGCATGTAGTGGGTACGTAGGAGGAGCTAATACCCACTGCAACTGCACTCGTAGGCGGAGCTATACTCATACAACTGCACTCGTAGGAGGAGCTAATACCCACTGCAACTGCACTCGTAGGCGGAGCTATACCCAGACAACTGCACCTGTTCTCCTCTCTATTATCAATTGGTAAATGACACGCGGGTGACTTGAAGTCGTGCCTTCCTCAAACCAAATCCAGACACATGATGAGCCAGCAAGATACGTTTCTGACTTCCCCTGATATTATTTGTTTCCCTGTGCCAACCTCTTTATAAACTTGCTCTCTGTGGTATCTTTCCTTTCATCTTGGTCACTGTTGTTTCTGGAATCGACACTTGACAGCTTCCCACATCATGAAAACAGATTCCACCTCTATTGACCTGGTCCCATTCATTGACACACTTTGTACTGGGAACTGTGGACCATCAGACCCTGAATTTCCTGTTAACAACTTGTTTTCCTCTGCTCTGAGCCTGAGATCCTGATGGCAGGGGAGTGGGTTCTGATGAGTCTGCAGCTAAAAGAGCTGGGGAGTGGCCAGAGCCCTATATAAGCTGCCCCTGAGCACAATAAAGGGGGCATTCTTGGCATTCTTGTCTCAAGGATGTCCCCGTGGTCCCGTGTGTGTGTGTGTGTGTGTGTGTGTTTGTGTGTGTGTGTGTGTTTAAATCTTCAGCCTAGTTCCAGTAGTGCATAGCAAGTAGAGCATGGAACGGAACAGGTGTAGTTTTACAACTTTGTATTTGATTGATCAACAAATATTAATCTATTGAATCTTGGATATGATTTTCATATCCAAGATCTTAGTCTTCCAAGTGGATTGGTTAAATATCTGGAAAATCCCAGACAGCATTTTATGCACATTTATCTAAGTATTAAACTCTCCTATTGAAATAAAGAGGGTCGTTCAGTCACCTGTTTCTAGACTCATACTTAGGGAAGAAAAAAGATCATATTCAGTCTGAGCACGAAGACGTGAAACCCATCAGCAAGAAGATGCATTCCAGTGTGGTGTTTCTCAAGCTTTTCCAAGGTTATAACTGACCTCAGTCAAAGAGACTGAAGTTAATGAAGGTCAGAAAGGTATTGGTTCTCCTTCCTTCTTCTATGGCTGGAATCTTTTTCAGAATATTTATTTATTTATTGTGCATGTATGTGGGTTGAGAGGATACGAACGTGCCGCAGGGAGCATGTAGAGTCCAGAGGAAAATGAACATCCTGGGGATTCCGCTCACAGCACCGGGCTTGGTGGCCGGGGCTTGTTCCCACTGAACCTTCTCTCTGGCCCCTAGGCTGTAATTCGTTTTTTACGTAGTTCAGTCTAGATCATCGCGACCTGGAGCCGGCTCAGTGTCAAGTGCACTACCTTTGTTACTGAGGGAAAGAAAATGCAACCAAGTCGGTGTGAAAATGCTGTTCAGAGAACTGCACAGCCCAACCTGGCTTTCTGAGAACGTCTTGTTCCTTCTGGGCCCAGTTTCTCCTAGTTTAGCCAAGCCTGTTTCCTCTCAACATTGTTTTCATGAATTCCGAACGAGGACTTGCTTTGTACCGCAGTACCCCCTGCTTTCTGTCATCTTTTGAGAATCTCCCTTCTGAGTTAACGCCATTCTTGGGAAGGGGAGTAAATGCTAACTTTACTTAAGTCTCCCTTCTTTCATTCTTCCTGGTTTAGCATCTTGTTCTGGTTTGTCTCCTTGACAGTCTTGCTAAGTTGCCCATGCTGGTTCAGAACCCTTGGACTCAGATGATCTCACTGCCTCAGCCTTCTGAGGATCTGGGTCTCTGGGCCCTTGCCACATGGTGACATCTGACAATAGAACACGCTTCCCAGCCTTGAAGAATCCCTTTGATTATGATAACATAATCAGAAATGATCTCCTCCTCCAGTTTTTAGTTGTTATTCTTTTGTGCACACAGCGTGCAGCAGGGACATGGTGTCTGGGAGAAACTGCAGCCTCTCCCTAAGAAATCTGAGATCCTGGCATAAACCACACAAGAGTGGAAGGGGAAGGTTGTCACCGAGCACTTGGTGCTGGGATAGAACTGAACATGAAGCTCATTCTTAAGGCTGCAGTGGTTTTATGAAAGAACCAAAGACTATGTTTGTGGGTAGTAAGAAGATTTTAGAAGAAAAAAAAAAAAGATGTGTTTAACTTGGAACTCGTATGGTAATGTGGTTAGGGAGCAGGTAGGTGGGAATAAGAACCTGTGCTCTTAAAAGGTTAGGTGGGTCTCTCCCCTCGGGGAGGGTTAAGGAGAGCTGCTGCTCACCTCCCAAGTATGCCTGTGAGTGGGGGAGAGCAG